ATATACATATATTGATAGATAGATGAATATAAATATAAATACATATATAGATGTCTACATATACATATAGTTTTATGTAATATATATATATATATATATATATATATATATATATATATATATATATATATATATATGCATATACACACAAAGACACAGACAAATGTGTATGTATGCATATATATGTATATATGCGTACATACATATAAATATACACACAAATGTGTATATATGCATATAATATATATATATGCGTACATATATACATATACACACAAATGTGTATATATTACGTGTGTGTGTGTGTGTGTGTATGTATGCATTTCTACACGTTTATGTATCTATATATATATACCCACATATATATAATAATATATATATATATATATATATATAATATATATATATATATATATATATGTATATAATATATATATATATATATATATATATATATATATATATATATATATATATATATATATAATGTATGTATGTATATATATAAATAAATAAATATATATATATATATATATATATATATAATATATATACATATACATACGTCTATATATGCATACATATATATATATATATATATAAATATATATATATATATTATATATATATAATATGTGTGTGTGTGTGTGTGTGTGTGTGGTGTGTGTGTGTGTGTGTGTGTGTGTGTGTGTGTGTGTGTGTGTGTGTGTGTGTGTGTATATATACATATATTATTATATATAATATATATATATATATATATATATATATATATATATATATATATATATATATATTCTCATATACTTATTAATTTCTGTTATTTAATTTCTGCCACTTTCATCCTGGTCAATTGGCATCAGAATCACCCAAAACTGTTTTGATTTTTAACATGTCTTTCTCTCTCTTTTAGGTAAGTGGAAGCTGTATTGTGTTCGTCAGTCGTCTTCAGTAAGGTCAGTAAGGTTCACATCAAGCTAAATAAAAGGCGAAATATGAGAATAGGATTTTTTGAAGAGGTAATGGTTTAAAGTGTATATGGGTTATGATTACCTGTGCCAGATCTTAATGCTTGTAGAGTTTTTTACGCTCTTAACAAAGAAAAAAATCATATTCATTCTGAAAGTACATAGTTTTCACACTATTTGAATTATATATACATACATATATAAATATATATAATATATGTGTATATATATACATATATACATATATGTATAATTTTTATTCTCTAGCACAATAGTATTATGACATGTTTCCGCCGCATTGTATCAAACTTTCATATCTCTCTCTCTCTCTCTCTCTCTTCTCTCTCCTCTCTCTCCTCTCTCTATCTATCTATCTATCTATCTATCTCTCTCTCTCTCTGTATGGTAAGAGAGTAAGGACTTTTTTTATTATCACAATTTAATACACAGGGATTCCATAATTACGTTAAACCAATTATCAAGCATTTCAACATATAATATCAGGTAAGACAAGACTTTTTATACTTGCACTGAACCTACCTGTGTACGGGAGAAGAGCAATCCGCCGATTAAGAAGACGCTAAAATAACGAACATTACCCAAAATTAATTTTTAACACGTCAACAAACTAGATATTTATTTTATAACTGATTACTATAATTTACCCTTTTTGTTAGAACACAAAATTTGCAAAATAATGCAAAAATATGTAAACAAATGTTCCAGTGACGTACATACATCTTATTAAAATGAATAAGGATCTCGACATACAAACATATATATAATGTATATATATATATATACAATATATATATATATATATATATAATATATATATATATATATATATATATACATGCATATATGATTACATATATGTATGTATATATTATATATATATATATATATATATATATATATATATATATATATATATATATATATATATATATATATTTATATTTATATATGTATATATATATACTATATATATATAATTAATATATACATATGTGTGTATATGATTACATATATATATATATATATATATATATATATATATATATATATATATATATATATAATGAAAGAGTGAGAAGTTATAAAATGAAAAATAAAAATAAAATAATTGGTTAATCACAGACAGAGAGAAGGTATGGAAAAAAATCGAAACGGAATTATTGCTTCATCACTCTCTGTGCATTTGTACTTCACGACAAGCACGTGTACAATTCTTGGAATTTAAAGCTAAGTCATTTCTTTCAGTTTATTTTTTTTCTAATGACTTTACTATCTACATCAGTTATTTTCTTCAATTTCTACTCATTCCCCACCGTATCATTCGATGCCTTTCGTCATTTCTGAGAAAAATAAATTTTTCTCTGTATGTGAAGAATGTAATCAAAACATTGCTCGAATCTCGCTTTTACCAATTCCAGGTACAACTCATGAAATATATCTCACCATAGATGAATGAATTTTACAATGCATGTTCGCTTATATATACTAGATATGCATACATTAACTCCAAAACAACCTGTTGTTTGCTGGTTAACCCATCCAAATTGTTCGTCAGATAGCTGGGTTTAATATCCAGATCGACTGTGTTGGGCGTCAGTTCATTCTGTCTGGGTTTCTGTTGATGTGTCTGAGATTTAATGACTATTTGTCAAGATATCTAGAACTGTCATTTGTACTAATATGTCATCTTTATTGTTGCCATTAGTACTGATTGTGTGTAACGATATATTATTATTATTGTCATTACGATGATTTTTATAAATATGTTGGCAGACTTGTCCCTAATTATCATCTAAAACACATTTGTAATTGTCGTTATCGAGGTGGTAGTCCTCCTCTTATCACTCCTGTTAGTATCAATATTATCATTATCATTATCTATATTACCGATTTGGTTGGCGGTTCCGGTGGTAGTGATTTTGTTCGTCCATTTTTCGGATCATTATTACCTCTGTCAAGGTTATTTTTTGTTAGCGTTGATTAGTTAAGTAGTCTGTTAAATTTGTTTGTTGGTTCACACGATAACTTAGCAAATAATGAAGAGATTTTTATTTTTTTTATTTTATTTCATTTTATAGATTAATTTATCTATTTTTTCATCAGAGGTGTGTCTGAGCCCCACTTATATGCCATGAAATTGGTGTTGATCCTGATCACGATCCGGATCCAGTAATTTTTTACAGGGATCATTAGCATTGCGTGATAGGGGCAACTTATCATCATTATCATTATTGTTATCATCATTTATAATGTTATTCTTCAAGTATGAAATGTCTATTGCATCAGTGACGGGGGTATGCGATCAAGATTATTATATTAATTATCTACCTTGACGAAGGTAGGCGTTCTAAGAGTGCATAAAGTTATCATTATTATTATTATTATTATTATTATTATTATTATATCATGATATTATTACTCCGTTGAGAAGGTTCTGTTTTCGGTACCGTTGGTTTGTTAGTTGTTAGTTAGAATGACACCTCCAAAAGTTATGAACAGATTTTTTATGAAAATTCCATCAGAGGTACGTTTCAGCCTCAGTTTGTCGCTGATCCAGCTTCAGGAATTTTTTGACTGACTGCATCAGGGGAAACTACTGTTATCATTACCTTTATTACCTCCGCCAAGGAAGCCATGCTTACGGACGTCACCAGAGGACTTGAGAAATGTGTGATTTTAATGTAAACCTTCAAGTGTAAACCTATTGCCTTGGCGGAGGTATGCGCTCTCTGAATGCTTCTAGTTTTCGTTATCATAATTTACATTATTTTTTGTTATAAATATTCTTGTAATCTTCATTGTTATCCTTATTAATGTTATCATTATCATATCATTATCATTTTATTATCATTATCATTTTTATTGTCATCATTATCATTTTATTACCATTATGTTTTTTTATTATCATTATCACTGTTATTGTTATTGTCATTATGATCATTCTCCTTATCATTGGTATCATCACTGCAGTAAATATTATTGTCGTTAATGCAACCGTCATTAAGAAAATCCCATTCATTTTTCGTTAGCAATATTGCAGTTCTTATCATAGGATTTACAAAGCTCGGTAACACGCCTACTTATCGCTTTTAGCATTCAAAAGAGAACTAACATTTATCTTGTTTGAACTGAATTGTAAAAGGGATTCGCCTATACTAGTACCGATTATATTCTGTTTTTTTTTTTTTTTTTTTCTTAAGGGATATTCATTAATAAATAATAAGCGATATCAAGGCTACTGAGTATTTCGAAATACTCAGTATTCCTATAATGCAGTGTTTCTATCTCAACCCCAGGGGTGCTCGCACCCCTGGGGGTGTGAGATAGCGTTCCAAGGGGTGCGAGAAGTGCCCATCTTGAACACCAGCAATTAATCTATTTATTAATCATAATCAAGAAAAAACACGAAAAGAGCCATTGAATTGAACATTCATTTATATATCGTTTTACAGTTAGTTCTTTAATTTTACATGTATATATTTCAATAGTCTGGAACATGTTTTCTTATCCATATGTTTGATTTTTGTAAACATATTAGAA